GGCCCCTCCAGTGAAATTTTCATTTTAGCTATTATACTTTCAATTCCAGAATTTATATTTGGTTCTTTTAAATATATTTTGTCTTTGGGGCGCCTGGGTGGCTTGGTCGGTTGAGCGTCCGACTTCAGCTCAGGTCATGATCTCACGGTCCGTGAGTTCGAGCCCCGCGTCGGGCTCTGGGCTGATGGCTCAGAGCCTGGAGCCTGTTTCAGATTCTGTGTCTCCCTCTCTCTCTGCCCCTCCCCCGTTCATGCTCTGTCTCTCTCTGTCCCAAAAATAAATAAACGTTGAAAAAAAATTAAAAAAAAAATTTAAATATATTTTGTCTTTATTAGTATTCTCTATTTGTTGAGACACCATTCTCATACTTTAGTGCTTTAGACATGGTTTCCTAAGATATTTGAACATATTTAAAATACCAGATTTAAATGTTTGTCTAAAAAAAGTCTAGTCTGGGCTTAGTCCAATGTCTGGGCTTCCTCAAGGACAGTTTCTATTGATTGCTTTATTTCTTTATATGGGTCATACTTTCCTATTTGTTTGCATACCTCATAATTTTCTGTTGGAAACTGGACATTTAAAATAATGTAACAGGGCAACTATAGGAATCAGATTATTCCTCCTCCCCAGGGTTTTTTGATGTTGCTGTTTATAGTTAGTTAGTGACTCTTTAAAACTAAGTCTGTAAAATCTGTATTGTCAGGGCACCTGGCTGGCTCAGTCAGGTAAGCATCTGACTCTTGATTTCTGCTTGGATCATGATCTAATGGTTTGTGAGTTTGAGTACCACATTGGGCTCTGCACTGATGTTGCAGAGCCTGCTTGGAATTCTCTCTCCCTCTCTCTGCCCCTCCCCTGCTCGTGCTCTGTCTCTCAAAATAAATAAATCAATTAAAAAAAAAATCTGTATTGTCATGGAATGCCACCAAAGTCTGTATTCAGTTAGTTTAGTGGTAAGCTAATGATTGGACAGAGATTTCCCTTAAACACCTGGAACCAGTAAGTCTCTCAGTCTTTGCTGAAGGGTTGTGTGTGTGTGTGTGTGTGTGTGTGTGTGTGTGTGTTGGGGTTCACTTTCAGCACTTAGCCAGACAATTGAGAACTGTGCCTTAGCTTTCATCCTGCTTATATGACCTCAAGGTAAGAGATTAAGGCCTTTTCAGGTCTCTTCTGAGCATGCACATAGTCCTGCACATGCATATGGTCTAGATCCCAAGAACGTGTTGTTTTCAGAGTTCTTACCAACTCATTCCCCATCTCTTCCATCTATGCTTTTTGGTTAGCCTATTGTTTGCCCCAATTAATATTCACATCCTCAGGCAACCTAAAGAAGTGCTTTTAATTGTTTACAACAAACACTCCTGGGGAAAAGGCTTTTCACACATGATAAACTCTAAGCTCTAAGTCATGAGGAGTTTGTGCTACAAGTCAAGTCACATAAAGGCAGTCTTGCAAGTAGAGTCTTCCGGCAAACCACTGGACAGGTCAAGTGATTATTCTCTGGGAATGAGACTGTAAGAGTCCTAACCCCATTCCATCCCCACAGTGACTGCCAGAATGTTGGTTTTCAAGGCTACCATGGAGCTGGAGGAGAAATGGGAATGGGGCAAGTTAAAATGCCAGAAAATTCACTCTTCTTAGCTTCATTTGGCTATTTTTTCTGGAATAAACATTCCCCAGACTGTTGCAAGGCTTTTGTTAATTTCTGGAGTTCTGAAAAAATTGGTTCTGACAATTTTTGCTAGTTTTCTCTTTCCTCTTATGGAGAGAATTTTTGGAGGTCCTTATGCCACCGTTTTTGCTGTCACTCCCAACCAATTTAATGACCCTTTGTCTTTAGCCATTCTTCCTAGTAATCCCCATCTTAGAGGGGAAACCAAGACACAGATACATTAGAACACATCAAGGCAGTACTGGGTCCTGGCCCACAAATCCATGAGAGGGTGGAAAGCAAGTTTCACTGCTAGGTGATTTGTGAGGTTTTTTTACTTGTTGTTAGTCCCTAAGCCTAACATATACACTAAAAATCTTTGGTCCCCAATTTCTTTCCCTGGCCCCAAGTATACCTGAATAAATCTCTTCTCCAGCTCATGGGTTATCTCACAGGCTTTTATGTTTTCCAGAAACCCCTTCACCAGCTTCCACTCACAGCCTATCTTATAGGTAAGTAGCACTGTGCTTCCTTTCACTTGGGATCTGTTCACACTGACACTCTGCTAGCAGCCCTGGGGTTACTTCTACTAGCCTATACCCCTGACATTTATAAATCTACCTTGTAAACAAGAGAGCATTGAATAGTACTGTGTCTAATATATATCAGAATTATTTTATTTTTAGTTGCAAGCAGGGGATTTATTTCCTGTCTAGTCTAAATATATAGGCTGTCCCTTTAAATATGCTTTTTACCTTTACCTTCGTTTTCTTTGCTGATGCTTTTATTTCCCCTCCTTAGGCCTTCACCTGCCTCTTCTGGACAGGGGATTTTTCCTTTCAGACCATCCCTAAATGGTGGGGATTCCGGCCACACAAGAGCCCTTACCCCCAGTAATTCAGGTATGTTAAATGTCATTCCCAAAGGAATGGAACTTCAATCATTGACATGTATACTAAAATGAGGATTTTCAAGGTGAAAGAAGTTAGGAAAAGAATGACTTTATAGCATGCCTCTTAAATTGCTTAGCTAAGTCTTTTTCCCTTATGAGTGGTGTTCTACAGATTAAGACCTACCTATTTACCCTGACCCATAAGTAACATTGCCAAAGAACTGCCCAAGGAAGTTATCTTTCACCATTCCAATTCTGTCCTTCAGGTCAGAGGGAAAGCAGAACCCCACTAGAGAGTCTTCCTGGTTTCCAGCTACCAGTCCAGCAGGTGAGCCCTGGCTAGTCTAACTTGCCTGTATGAAAAACTTACATGGTTGGGCCTGTGCACAACATACCCTTTTGGTCTCCTCTTAAGGTGGTAAAATGTAACCAGTGGAGAATGATACCGGTTTCAAGTGTGGTAACCAAATGTTCACAATTTTCCAGAATGGTTTCAATTTCAAAGATTCTTTCCTACTATCAGATTAGCTTCCTGGTTTGGGGTTTAAAAATTAGGTCACATGGTAGCGAATGCCTTTAAACTGAGAGGTCTGGGCCAGTGTGAACTAAGTGCGTAGACACAACTGACATTCCCAGAAGCTCCACAAAAAAGTATTTCAATGGAATATATCTTTTGGATAGAGGTACTACTTGAACTAGGAAAAATCACATGTACTTCTCTAGAGATGGTTAGAATAAGGCTTTATAAATTTATGGGACTATGATATGTCAGCAACAAGAGGAAGAAGGCATGGGAATAAGGAGAGAGGTTTGTAAGGAGCTCTACATGCCAAGTCCAGTCTTGCCTTTTAAGTTAACTTTTATGGCCCAGGTTTTGAGGATATTTAGGCTCTTTTCCATGCCAAGCTCCTGGTGAGCCCAAGGACATACTAAGGTGGGTAAATATTTTGCTCTCATATTCCAAATGCCCTTTATTTTCATTGGCAAGGAATTAGGGTCTAAGTCGCAAGAGGCAACACTGGGGAAATAATATCCCTGAGATCCTTACAAATGGAGGGATTAACCTACAGATGAAAAAAGACTTAAGGGACATATAAACCAGCTGCAAACATATGGCCCCTATTGGAGCCTGATTAAAACTGTATAACACACACACACACACACACACACACAAACATACATTTATGAGAAAGTTGAAAACTGAATACCTGTTGGACATTTGATATTTTCTTTTTTTTAATGTTTATTTTTTATTTTTTGAGAGAGAAAGAGCACACACATGTGTGCAGTAAGGGAGGGGCAGAGAGATGGGGACAGAGCATCTGAAGCAGGCTCTGAGCTGACAGCAGGGGCTTGATCTAACTCACAAACCGTGAGATCTTTACCTGAAGTCAGACGCTTAACTGACTGAGTCACACAGGCACCCCAATATTAAGGAATTCTTAGTTTTTGTGTGTGGGCATACTACTATTGTGGTTGTTTTTAAAAATAGTCTATCTTTTGGAGATACATACTAACATATTTAGAAATAGGAAGTTAAGGGATTGTCTGGGTTTTGCTTTAGTATATAATATAGTGGACATGGGGCAGAGAGAGTAGAAATGAAAAAAATTGGCCATAAGCTATTTGTTGAAGTTGGGTGATGGATACTCATCAGTCCATTATACTACTTTACTTTTACTTTTGTATTTTTTGAAAATTTCAGTAAGATTAAAAAAAAAAAAAAAAAAAGCTATTGAAGTTAAGTGCCACCTCCCCAGGGCATAAGAATCCTGCCTCCCTGGTAAGCACATTTCAGCATAGTAGTCATAGGTTCCAGGTCTTCCAAAGTAGTTCTTTAAATACTCTGCCTTATTATCACCATAAGCCACTCAGATGTTGTAGAGTTTCATAATTAGCAACAAAGGCTTTGTCACAGATGTATCAAATCTTAGTACAAATCTTGGAACAGTTATCATGCAATGGAGAAAACTATGGGGAAGCACAGTGGTGGTTTGCTGTCTTAATAAACTTCATAAAGTGGTTTAAGAGGGCCTTATTTGCCCTTTTTGTTATAAATGCCCATATCTGCCTTCCTGTCCTCTGCTGCAGACTCTGTACGAACAGAGACAGATGGGATTAGCCAGGGCAAGAGAAGCATGGACTACTTCCAGATAGATCGTCTTCAAGGTCCAATCCATATATATTGCTTAAGGAAGGCATATAGCATCCAATACTCATTAAGTGTGATGGTTTTGGAAAATGTTTCCCTGGTTTCTTTCCACATTTCACTGTGTACCCTTATCTGCTTTGTTCTTTACCATATACACCCTATATTACCTCCTAGGAAAACGATCAGCATTATATAAGGCTAGTTCTTCAGGAAGATGTTTAGATCTCTCCCACACTCATATGTAGCTCTCTCATTTTCTACAACTTAAAACAAATATTGTAAAAAAATTCTTGGCTCACTGGAGGTGCGAAATCATACACTTGTTAAGTATGTTTTATTTCTAGATTTCATTTTTTAAGCTTTGGATGTATTCACCTATTGCCAAAGCTAATAAACAACTCTGTTCCTTGTCCTAATTTATTATACTACTTCTGTTTGCCTATTGTTTCCTCTATGCCTAGTTAACTATGTTGATTTTCCTTTCTGTCTGATAACAGCTGGAGACCCAGACTTTCAGCTTACTAAAGTACACAGATAAAATAAAGATGTCCTTTTATTGTTATTGCAGCTCTATTGGTACTATATTACAAGCTCTAGAATGGTGGAATGGGCAAAGAACACCAACAGTGAGATGGAACATGTATTCTTCTTTGGGTATTAAAGAGTAGAAATGAGGAATTAAATGGGTTGGCCAGTGGCAGGCAGGCCATAAGCAAAAATTTTGAAAAAAAATATAAAGATAGCAAACATCTGCCAGAAATAAATGGAGTCCTGGGAATGACCATGAGGCTGAACTAGCATTCCCTACCCTTTCTGGAACTCTTGAGTTTATTTTTAAAGGTATTTCTAGACATCTTTTCTGGGAAGAGCCTGTCCTATAGCAGTATAGGAAACAAATCTTCCCAGTGATAAGATACTGATGTATTGCCTTTTAAAGTTTTATTCTTTTAACCTACCTCAATATATCCTGATTCTTAAAAAAAAAAAAAAAAAAAGTATACTAAGTCAGAATGTTAATAGATTTGGCTCCATTAATTTCTAAACCATAGAAGTGGCAAAGTGGAGGAGAAACAATTTTATTTTTGGCCTTTTATTATTCTAGCAATTTGGGGCTTCCACTCTTATTTCTAGATGGTTAACCCATTGATATCTTTATATCTGACTCCAACTGATGAAAACCATTCTAAAACATCAATAATCAATTCAGTTAAGACCAGGGTCCCTCTGTCCCCAAGACAGATCCTATAAAGAGGGGAAAAGTCTCTAGTATAGACACACATTGAGCCAACATCAAAAAGATGAAAAATTAGTCTTTGTCAAGCTAGGCAGGAGGAAGTTTCAGATTTGTAAAACCAAACCTGCAACCTACCTGCACCCACCTTCTGAACAGTAGAAATCATCCCTCTCTTCTATCCCTCTGTAACCTAATTCTACTTTTTAAAAGGACATTTCCCCCCAGTTCCCACATCCAATAAATATCCAGTCTAAATTATTCTCCACCCAATTATTAAACTTTTTCACAAGCTCCATGGGGAAGATTTACCCTGAGACAAATAGCGAACAGAATGAGGGATTTTGGAAAAAGATTAAAAAGTACAAGGCAAAATGGTCCCAGTATCAGAAGTGAAAACATTCTGCTACCTGTGCAACTCAGTAATGAAGCAGGGAAAACCCAGCATCAAGTTGGTGTGCATGAAGGAAATACCTGTAGTGAGACTGGGACACACTAACACTCTCAGCTGTATTATGCACGGACTCGTGCTCAGAGAAGAAAGGGGTGTGAGGCAGCCTTATATTCCAGGGAAAATGGTGAGACTGGGGGATGCACTAGAATCATCAATTGAATCAAAATTCTTTACTCCTCCTTTCCAGTACTAAAGACGTGGGGCCAATATCTGGCCTCTCCTTAGTACAATAAGGGGAAAGAACAGACATGAAGAGAGCAAGAATTGTTTCCCAGCCCATGGTTTGGACCAGATCCTTAGCACTCTCTTCACCGAGACTAAAGGCCTGATTTCTGCCCAACCAATCCTCACCTCTTTGGGTCCTATGGTCATCCTCCCTGGTCCACCCTCACTACATCCCCCATCCCCCAACCTCAAGAACACAAAGCTTTTTAGTTCTTTGCCACAAGGTAATTAAAAAAATGTGGTTTCTTTGTTTAAACAGTTACTAAGTTGGTTCATCTTTTAGTAACAGACCTCCCCTCCCCTCCCCCGCCCCTCAGTCTTGTATGATCACATCATCATCCTCGTCATCATCTTCCTCCTCCTCCTCCTCTTCATCCTCATCATCTTCTGGCAGTTCCTCCTCCTCCTCCTCCTCTTCTTCATCTAGACAAACCACCACCTCAGCTGGCTCAGGTAAACGAGAGTCAAACCAATCCAGTACCTGCTGGGTGCTAAGCCTTGATGCCTGACTCAGTTGAGGGATATCACTTTCCCGAAGCTGTTGGTGGGCTGCCCAGTACCTCTCCAAGGGTCGTATATCCGGTGGGGGTGGGGGGTTTGGCAAAGGTGGTGTCTCAGCCCATTCATTCAAGGAGCGGGTTGAAGGTGGGGGTGTGGGAATTGCTGGGTCCTGGAAACTAGGGGCACCAGGTACTGCGTTGTCCCGAAACCATTTTAGTTGCCCATGCTTCAAAGCATAGCGTGTGTCACCAAACCACTGAATAATCTCAGGCCGAGGTAAGCCAGTGATCTGTTCTAATTTATGGTAATCCTCACGCCGTGCCCATTGGCACTGTAAAAAGAAAGATTTGAGGATAGCCAGCTGCTCTTTGGTTTTGCGCTTGGTCTTTCGCTGGCGTTGCATATCTGGGGAAAGGTACTCTGCAGGGCCAACCCTACCTGGTACTGAGTTATGTCTTAGCCCCTGGGGCCAGGCTGGCTCCAGATGTGGGGGCAGTGCCTGTTCATTGGGTGACAGTGGCTGTGAGATACAGCCCAATGACTGGAGGGGTTTAGAGGTGGCAGTAGCTCCATTAGCCAGTACCTGGAAAGTGGAAGAGGTAGAGGAAGAAGAAGGAGTCATAATAGATGCTGACTCCTGCTTACAACTACTGGCAAGTAATGAGATTGGTGGGGGCTTATCCCGAGCACGTGGCTGGTGGACAGCTGTGGAGTGGTTCCAGGAGGCAGAACCTAGGCCATGTGACTGATTGGGACCCTTGCCTGCCTGCTCCTTAGAGAGGCCACTGCTTTGAAGATCCTGCCAAAAATCTGATTGGTGGGAGAATGTCCCACTGCCAGGTGCCATCAGGGGTTCCTTTGCTTTCTGGTGACTCAGCAGCTCTGAGGACTCCTCAGGCTCTACCTTCAATCCTTTCATCTGGGTAGGCTCGCTAAGAGTCAAGGGCACTATTCCAAGACCCATTTGTTCTGGAGGTGGCACTGGAGAAGGAGGCACCTCCTCAGGGGGCCGCCCTGCGTGATGAGTAAAAGAGAGAAGGGATTTGAAATGGAGCTGGTCCCGATGGTAGACCACTCGGGCTCGAGTCTCTTCTATTTCTTCAGATGACCAACTAATGCCGCAGCGGAGGCGCTGGGCCATGAACCAAGTCTTGACTTTTTCCATCTGCAGCCCATAGCGTAAGCAGAGAAGAGCAATGTCTGCTAGACTGGGATAGGGAAAGTAGCTGAAGGTTTGTAGCAAGTGTTCATTGCCATCCAGCTCACTGGTCTGGGCTGCCTGGGTCCACACAAGCTGTAGCTCCTCGGAGATTGGAGGGAGGCAGATGAGCCCCGCAGGGGAGCTATTAAGACTGCTGGCCTCTTTATTAGGAGGCATGGTGCTTTCTGACTTGTGCCCTTCAGAGATAGCTGTAATAAGAAGAGAAACAGCTCAATCACTGGGGCTCCTCTTTCAGCCCATTGCTCATTTTCTGCCAAACAAAATGTTGGACTCCAATACAATCAACTGTCTATTGTGTACTGTTTTGGATTGCTTTTAAAGTGCTTTAAAAAAATTTCTCATTTAGTTTTCATAACCTTAGGAGCCTGTTATAATTCCTATCATATGTATGGAAAAAAACGAAGTCCATAGAAGTTCATTACCCCAAGTCACGTGACTAGTGAAATCTGTCTTTAGAGGTTAAGGAAGAACACGCATCCTTATATTGCCTTTATTCTTCTGATGCAAACTCACTTCACCCTCTAAGATCATGGAACAGGAGTCACAAAATGGAAACTCAACCACAAAAACATGAAGTGCAGTAATCTCAGAACTGATGCAAATGCTTTAGCTCCTGACAATTTATGATTACCTCTAGAATGTGGAGACAGGTGGGGAATCCAAGAGAGGAATTTCTAGAAGGCAGGACAGATAGTACTGTCCTTCTGCCTAGCCCCCGCCCCCATTCCTTTTCTCTTCTTGGTGGTGAAGTCCTGCAGGCAGAGGAATGATAGTACCTTCAAGCCCTAAACCCAAATCTGCTAAGCTTTATTTTCTCTCTGTAGGATAATTGATAGATAGGGTATCTGGGATAAATGGGGTTACTCCCCCTGGGTCTTTGGGGGTAGAGAGAGGGAACTGTTTCCACCTCCAAGTCCTCCACGGAACAAAGGTTAGCCCCTCCCTCCCTCCCCCCCCGCCCCC